ATAAAACATACACGCACAGACACTCACACACACACACACACACTCACACACACACACACACACACACACATATTGCTGTTGTCAGAATAAAACCTTGTATAGATAAGGAAAAATGTTCTTAACTTTTAATGGAGTTAAATGGAAAAAAAATTGTCCATGTCATTTTGGACCATTTCTGTTTTTCTGTTCTTGTCTGTTCATCATGAAATGGTAAATTTACAGGAGAGGAAAAAAACATACTTTAATTTTAATGTAAGTCAATGGAACCAGACATTTTTCCAAGTAATTTACGGCTGTTTCTTTTGGTCAGTTCATCTTGAAATCTGAAAAAACATCAGAAATCATACACATACTTACATATATGTAATACATATAGGACATTTTACATGTGAAACTTTACATACATTCTACTAATAATATGTCCCATGTGTTATACTTGCATATAATTATCAGTATGTAATTAGAAACCTCTAAACGTAAGTGTACGTGGTATAAGGGGCCAAAAAGAAATGGCTTTTCCGTTTTAGTTTTAAATAATAAACCAGGGAGCATTTATAAACAGCACTTGTAGTCGTGAAGGCTGTAGAGAAACACTCTCTCCTTCTGTCGCCCCTCTGAGCAGCGCAATACCAGAGCTGTGGCCAGTTTGATTTCAGATTGCCGTGTTGTGACCAGCTCGTAATTTGTCCACCCAAAACGCAGCATGTGTGTCTGCGGCGTCTCCGACGAAGGGTCTGCACACACACAGCGATTTGTTTTCCAAAAGTTACTGCTTTGCTCTGCGTTTGATCACCAGAAGAGTAGCAGTGGAAGAATAAAATCATCCGTCTTGTGTGGCATATTGTAGAGGGGGATGAAAGGAGGGGGCTACTGACCTCATTTTTGAATACTCTCTCTCTTTCTCTCTCTCTCTCTCTCTCTCTCTCTCTCTCTCTCTCTCTCTCGCTCTCACGCTTTCTCTCACTCGCTCTCCTTTCAATTCCTGGCTGTTTGCAGAATTTCCTTTCAGTGCGGCTTATAAGGTGAGCGCTGGTGCCGCTGACCACAGATACACTCAATCAGGGTATAAAAAATAAAAAAATTAAAAAAATAAAAATCCCATCGCTGATCTGCTTTGGGATCCTGCCACCATTTCCTTTGTAATTCCGAAATCCACGCAAATCCAACGGTTTATTTAAAAAATACTTTGTACATCTGTACTTTGATTAAATGATCACATTTGCCGCTTTCGCTGTATTTGGGTTGCATTAGTATCAGAAACGCTTACCGTTAAATTCCAACCCCCCTCACCTCTTGACACGCACACCCTCCCTGCCCTTGTAATGCCGCTCAGAGAGAGAGTATAAAAGCAGGCATAAACCGCTATTGCTTTACCTTAATGCGGCCGCACTTTTAGCTGCTAAAGAGGAAAGCCGTTTCCTATTATGTCCGCTCTGTTGCCTTGAGCGGGCTGCTGACCTCGTATCCGGGGCGTCCCGATTCGCATGGGTCCGCGTCCTTTCCGTAGCTGGACTCCTGCCATTGGTTGTCCTTCCTTCCTGAAATGACTGTCAGAAATAAAGGACCCCGCAGGCCCACCCAATCCAAAAGACTCGCATCTGTAATTAGAGATGGAGCGTTCATTAAGGTAATTAAATACTTCGTGCAGAATCACCTATAATTAGATGTTGGGTCGTCAGTGTAATTAACGCACTGGCGCGACTTCTCTGCTCTCTTGTATGTCTGCGTGCGTCGCCCCGGACATTTTAACACAAGCTAAACATGGCGTTTGAGGCTCGTTGAGGCTCTGTTCACTGTCATTCCAGGTGTGTGTGTCCACTTTAATAACCGTGTATGTGTTGGTATGTGACATTTATTGTTTAAACTGTCTTGTTGATGGACCACAGGCCAGATTTGTGAACAGGCTCAGAATTAAATCATGGGGTTATAAGCAAACAAAAGCATCTGAGGAAAATATGGGGCAGAAATGTGTGGTAGATCTGTCCAGAGGAGCCGCACGTTCAGAAGAGAATCATCAGGAGAGCCTCTGTAGCCGTTTAGGAAACCTAACGTTTGCCTACAGTAATGCAGCCAATGCAGAGTGATGAATTCAGACCCTGCTGTGCTGATCAGTGTAGCCTTTTAGTTTAGTTTCACATTGTTTTTTGCAGCCTGCAGTTATAGAGGCATGTACAGAAAGAGTGGTGGTTGGTCGGTGGGGCATCGTCCCATTAAATGAGGCTGTGCCTGTTTGTGAATGATAAACAAGTAGCTTACTTAGGAAAAATACTTAGGAAAATAATTAAGGCCGTCTAAAGAGAAGAGAGTTTTTATTCCCCAAGCAAGACGTAAAGATACATAAAACAATTTTTTATTAGATGCTTCCCGTGTGACACAGCAGGCTGAGTGTTAGCCCTATGGTCAGATTGCGAAGGCAGTCCCTTTAAATACCACAGCTCACAGTATACTTTAGGTAAAAAATTTTAGGTAATTTTAGGTAAATTTTTTTTTGCAACCACCCTTTGCATTGTGTTAGAATTTCATAATAACCAAAACAAATGATAAAAAAATTACTTGGAAAATTACTTGGTTCGCGATAACACACGACCTTGAGTGCTCTATTGCTTTTATACAACAGTTAAATGAATAAAGTAAGAAATTAATAAACTGGGCCGTGAACGCGGCATTTAATATGTTTTAATGTTCACAGTTCCTTCACCAAATTATAGTTCCTTAACAAGCAGCTTGTTGCTACGTCAGAGTAACAAGCTCCGCCCACTCGCTGCACAGCCAGCAGTTCGTCCTCCAGCTCCTTACACTAAATTCCCAAACTGTCATCACCACTGAGCAGCTTTTCAGTCGGCAGCTGTGACAGAAGAACAACCTGGAATTAGCCAGAAATGAACCGAGTACCATTTGCCAAACGTGTAGTCTGATCTTCTGAGTCTGACCAAATCAGACTGAGCCATAAAACTGCCACAATATCAGGTTTAGCTCAGTTTTGTCTTTTTTTGCCAGATCAATATTACTGTTGTTTTGTTCCAGCCAGTCTGTAAAGCATCTTACAGCCCATTTTGTTTGGTGAATGGTATTCAGTTCATTTCTGGCTGATTCCAGGTTGTTCAGCTGTTCTTCTGTCACAGCTGCTGACTGAAAAGCTGCTCAGTGGTGATGACAGTTTGGGAATTTAGTGTAGTCTCATCTTCAGAGTCTGACCAAATCGGCTGTCGGTCAAATGTGATCTTAAAAGTGTCCATTTTCTGTTTGTGGCAAAGTAAGAAGTAAAAACGTTCAAATGGCTTGAGAGTCTCTCACAGCTGTCAAAGTCATTGCTTAGCAACGGCGTCTCAGCAGAGTGATACAGTGTTTGTGAAATAACAGCACAGTTAGAACGCTTCTCAACCAATCAGCTTGCGTGGCCGGAACTAACTTGTATAAATGTATATACATACGCTGTACACACAAAGATTGGCACAATCTGAATGAAAAAAAAAGGTTTCTATTTATTTTAATATATATAGTATTTATTATAGCAACATCAACTTTCTCGTTCTCTAAAATCCTGCTTACCTACTTGTCCTGTTTTTTTTCTGCGCATCTGATGTTAAAAGAGGCTTTGTTTGAATGTTGATTGACTTCTTAGTATTTGCTCGGTGCTTGAATCTTTTTCTTTCCATTTTGGAGAGCTTCTGAGAATCTGACCCTCCATTCCATTGGTCATGTGTTCTGTTTGATGCTGAAACACTGTCGTATTGGTCAGAGAGCTGGGTGAGCTGGAAGGCCTCCGCTTTCTGGTTTAGTCTTCTGTTCAGTTTTGTGTGGGCAGTGTTGTCCGCCAGCACCTGTGAGTCTCCGTTTGAGCGTGTGCCCTCAGGTGTGCGTCCTGAGTGGGTGTTCTGTCAGGTGAGCTGTGAGAGGAGGCCTCGGCCGGGCCCTGTCGCCGAGAGCGGCACTTTGCCGGAGCGAATCGGGGAGGGGAAAATATTATATCAGATTAGTGTGTATTAAGCAGAGCCTAAAGAGTATATTAATGTAATCCCTCTGTTTTACCGCGAGCCGGTCCGAGAGGCTTAAGCAGGACTCGCGAGCTCACAGCCCACTGGATTAGGGTGAAACTGAGAGGGCTTAATGGGCCTGCCGAGGTGTGTGTGCGTGTGTGTGTTCGCTGATGGTCACCGCCACTGATACCACATTACCAAACACATGCAGGCGTACGTGCCTCCTTTTACTCGCACACAATGATTTGTGTGTAATCTGCATTCGTTTTGATCCAAAGATGAACCCGATCCAGTCCCGCCTCTGATAATATACCACATCCATTTTTCCACTTACTTTTAGTGACCACAGTGGCAGCCGTCTGGCCAGTGCTTGCATATAAACGTCATTTAGCTGCTTTTAAACTGTGTAAGCAACTGTACTTCTGTTCTTGGAGACTGTTTATGTTCATGTAAAACCAATTCTGTGTTTTTAAAACTGTATAGTCTTGAAGGGGAATTCCACAGATTTATCAAAATTTCTACATAATTATTAAGATGTAAAAAGTCATTCAGAGTGGTCTGAAGTGAAATGCTTCATTGTGGAGAAACGAACTGCCTCACATTTCTTTACAGTGGTGGTGATAGGAACCCTGCGTTACAGTCATATGGATAACGAACACCATGAATGGGTTGTAAAAATGCATTTTAGGCCAAAATCTTCTTAAAAATGACCGGAAAACAATGTCTGAGCCATCAGGCAGCATATTTATAAATATTTTGTGTGATAACTTTCAGTGAAGGAGCTTTTGGACAATTTCTGTTTTCTAGAACAGAGCGTTTCACATCTGACCTCTCTGAATGACTTTGTTTGTTTGTCCCTGTTTAATTATGCAGAAATATGAAAGGGTGAATGTAATAGATCCTTTTTTGGGCTGTTCACAAAACAGCTGGTATGATGGTCACATATATTTTACAGTGACCGTTTAGATGACCCAAAGTGCATTTGGACCTGTTCGTTAACAGCGGCCTTTGCTTTCTTCACAGAGCCGATGAGATCGAGATGATCATGACAGACCTGGAGCGAGCCAATCAGGTAAGACCCCACCTCCCCACCTCGCTTCTTTCAGTGAGTCATCACAGTGCTAGACTGAACTCATATCCTGTATGTGCACTGGCAGCTGTTCACTGGCCTGATGCAGAGCACTATTGCCAAAACAATGATGTCACTTCTGCTGTCATAAGCTTAGTCAGAACAGCCGGAACAATACCGACTTTCACTGGGTTCAGGAATCATTGTAGGTGCCAATAGGAGTTAAGCAAACTTAACTGGGTCCATCTTCCGTTAATTTGTTGGTAGCCACATTAGTGTGGCTTAGCATAAAAATGTTTTATCAATCAACTTTTATGTAACCACGAGAAAATTGAGGATCACTTTTTTATTATACAGGAAAAAGGGACTGATAAAAACATATCAAATACTCAAAGTAAATTTAATAATAAAAATTACTCAAATCAGGTAAGTATATAAAAAAAATACAGAAAAAACAGTAGGAAATATAAAACAATATTTGAAGCGTGACTAAAATGTAAAAGTTAATAAAATCAAATCAATACGATCAAAAAAGGAAACTAAAATTTATTTAAATGACTGAAATAAAATAATCATAATTAAAGCAAGAATATGAATAATAATAAATAAATAAATAAATAAATGGGGAAAAAATAAAATGAACTGAACAAAAATAATAAATAATAAAAATAATAGTGGTTAGAGGGTAAAAATTTAAAGTGACTGAGTAACCCAGCGAGCTGAGCTTTAGTGTTTCCTGTATTGAGGTCAGTGGTTCTCTGGAACTAAAGCCCGATTTTCCCTGTTCAGTAAAACCTCTCGGTACCTGGCATGTGATCCAACCACTGGAGCAAGTCTGATAATTACCATTATTTATAGACATTTAATATTGATGGTGCAGCTTTCGATGGTATATAATTTACAAAATCGAAAACCTGGATTTTTGTGACTTTTATAAAAGTGTTTTATTGTGTTTAAATGCTGTTTTTTTTATTGTGGCTATACACATTTTTCATACCCGGAAGGCTGCAATTGTATTTACAGCAGCGTTTTCTCACCCCTCATTGCTCACTAGCAGCTCAACACAGAGCCACAGCATTTAACACACACAGGAGCCAATAGTGTCCTAGTCAACCTGATAACAAGACTAGTGGCAGAAAATAGTTTTATTTGATTATGTTCACTAAAAATGTCTGAGTCATTTTCTATTCTGCTGGTAGAACAGCCAAAGAGGCCCTGCAGAAATAGACTAAAGACTTTATTAGGTCTTCTGCGTTTGGCTGGCCACATGGTTTGCTACACCATCGAAGTGCATACTGACCCAGTACCTCCAGTACTAAACAGTTAGGAAGTTTCAGGTGCCTTCATACCTTCTACCACTCCAGTAATCTTATTTTTCTTTATTTATTGAAATGCTAACAAGCAATTAATGTCCACACAGAGAGCGGAGACAGCAGAGAGAGAGGCCGGGGCACTGAAGGAGCAGCTCACGTCAGCCAACAAGTCCCTGCAGCTGGCCACCCAGATCCAGAAAGCTCCAGACATGGTATCAGTGTTCAGCTTCATGTCCTCCAGCTTAGAGATTCAGCTGGAGCTGCTTGACCTGAATGCATTGGGCAGCGCAGCGTGCTTAGCCATTGCTGACTCTCCTTTGTCCATGTGTGTAGGAGCAGGCGGTGGAGGTGGTGTCCCGTTCCAGCCTGGAGGCGGAGCTGAGCGCCAAGGAGAGGGAGATGGTGCAGCTGGTGGAGGATGTACAGAGACTGCAGGCCAGTCTGGCCAAACTCCGCGAGAACTCCTCCTCCCAGATTAGCCAGCTGGAGCAACAGCTCAGCGCCAAGAGTGCCACGCTCAAGGTTCTTAGCAGTAGCAAACTTTCTTTAAGGAACAGTTCAGTAAAAAAGTGTAATTTACACAATTTCCCCTTTTCACCTCTTGACGTTATCTGTAGAAATGACAACAATACAGGCAAAATTCAGGTTCAGCTGCTGATTTTAGATGTGCGACGTGCTGTTCTGCTTTTATATCGTTAACAGTAAACCATTCACTGTCAGACACAACGTAAGTCTACTTGGGAATATCTTGTTACACTCCAGGGCCAAAAGTATGTGGACACCTGACCATCACATGTGTGAGCTTGTTGCACATCCCTTTCCATGTCCTCTTCAAAGTCCACAAGACTTTGAAGAGTGTCTGTGGGAATTTGTGCCCATTTACTCTAAAGAGCTGTGAGGACAGGTGCCGATGTTGGACGAGAAGGCCTGGCTCGCATTCAACATTCCAGTTCATGAGGTTCAGTGGGGTTGAGGTCGTTGCTGTGTGCAGACCACTGGAGTTCCTCCACACCAAACTTGTCAAACCATGTCTTTATGGACCTCACTTTGCACACAGGGACACAGTCATGCTGGATCAGGGAAGGGCCTTCCCCAAACTGCTGCCACAAAGTTGGAAGGGCATAATTATCTGAAATATCTTTGTAGTTAGCGTTACTTCGCTGGAACGAAGGGGCCCAAACCCTAAAAAAACAGCGTAAGACCATTATCCCTCCTCCACCAAACTTTACTGTTGGTATTTTGCATGCCAGTAGGTAGCGTTCTACTGGCATCCACAGAAACCAGATTTGTCCATCAGGCTGCCGGGTAGTAAAGCTTGAGTCATCACTCCAGAGAACACATTTCCACTGCTCCAGTGTCCAGATGACGCTGGAGAAGTGTGCAAAGTGATCTTAGGCTAATGTGCAGCAGCTCGGCCCTAGAAACCCATTTCATGAAGCTCCCAACACCCAGTTCTTGTGTTGATGTTGCTTTCAGAGCGGTTTGCGACTCTGCAGTGAGTGTTGCAACAGAGGATAGGACATTTTTACACACTATGAGCTTCAGCTCTCACCAGTCCCACTCTTTGAGTTTGCGTGGTCTACCGCTTCGTGGCTGAGCTTCTGTTGCTCCTAGATGCTTCCATTTCACAGCACTTACAGTTGTCTGGGGCAGATCTAGCAGGACAGAAACTTCACAAACTGGCTTGTGGCAAAGTGGTATCCTATAACAGTGCCATGTTTAAAGTCACTGAGCTCTTCAGTACGACCCATTCTTCTGCCAGTGTTTGTCTCTGGAGTTTGCATGGCTATGTGCTTGATTTTACACACGTGTTAGCGATTGGTGTGGCTGAAACACATAGATGCAGTAATTAGGTGAATGTCCACATACTTTTGGCCATATAGTGTACTTGATGTAGATTGAAGTGAATGTACAATGATTGGGGTGTTTACACTTGGTTAGATTAAAGCAAACTCTGAAAAAAATGAGAAGACAACCACTCAAAGCCTGGAACATGCCATATAAGTGGACAGAGACCCCCTAAGAAAATCAGTCTTGGTCGACTTCCACACTTATTCTGGTGTGGTTTGTTTGAAGTATGAACGCAATACAGACTATAGACAAACTAAACACTTCGAAGAAGCTGTTACTGAGAAAAGGAAATAGACAAAAGAAGAAGAAGAAAGAAGCTGATGCTGTTCTGAGAACGATGGCCTGACCACCCCAGAGTCCAGATTTCAATAACACTGAATGCGGTCTTACTGTGAGAAACTGGAAATGCAAACCGACCTCTAAGACTGAGCTTCAGATGTGTGGAAAAATGTCCCTGCAGAAATTTTTGAGAAATTGAAAGCGAGTCCCAAAAAGACTGGAAGCTAATAAAGGCAAAGAATGGACACACTAAGTCCTGATTTAGTGATTATATTGAACAGTTAAGGCTTCTGTGTGATTCCTGTCCCAGTACTGTACATAAAACAGTCACAAAACTTGTGCGGTCAGTTGTACCTTTTTACTTCTATCACTTTTGTTTACATGGTTTGGTTTGATTGCAAATCCCTAAGCAAACTGGAGCTAAAACACAATAATGCATCATTTCCTACATCGGTCTAAACCAAGGAAACCGAACTGTAGATATAAATGCACCCTTAGGCACACAGATTGCAGTTCTGATTGGTGAGCTTCCATTACTTCTTAGTGAGATTTGCTTTGTTTCTCCAGTGAAAAGCCGAACGCGTCTTGGCGGATTGACTAAGTTTGGGGTAAAGGGGGGGAATTGTCTAAATTAGATTTTTCAACAGACTGTTCCCACACTTGTTCAGATGCTAATAAGGAAATGTGTCATTGCCTCTCAATACAATTTTTCCGTGAAGAATGTCTGTATTGAATGTCTGTCTCGTCACATTTCCCAACCCCCACTTCTCTTTTTTTTCCTTACTCATTCCTGCCTCGCTTGTGCAGCAACTGGAGGAGAAGTTGCAAGAGCAGGCCGACTACGAGGAGGTGAAGAAAGAGCTGAGGTAGGACCTGAGCTGCCTCATTAACCCCAGCACATTACACACGGCCTGTAAATACACTCAATAAGGCACAGCCTTTTTATTATTAGCCCCCTCATCCACCCTCATAGTTGTGTTGCAAATACCAGATCGGTCATTATGATTAATCAGCGCTGCTATTTGGCATGGGCATAGAAAGCTTGTGTTGTGGGTTTGTGAGTGTGCTTGGCTAACTCGGTTAGCGTAGCGCAGAGCTATGATGCGGTCTTATCGGCGCACGGCTGATCTGGTTAGCGCCTGTCTTTGATGGACTTTAACTGCTTTAGCCCGGGTGGCACGTCTGCCGTTCCCTACTCTAACTCGATTGCGTGTGTTTATAGATCTGAGTCAGGGCTTCCTCCCATGAATGGGCCCCTTTTTATTCGAGCAGAGGCCCGTCCTCCTGGCCCCAGCTCAAAACCGCCCTTATCAGCCACGTTAGCACTGCCAGTCCCCAGCGCCGATAGCATCTTTGAAAGCATTCCTCACTAATGCCACCCGAATTGATCTGATCTGGCCATGAAAAAAGATCACGCCTCCTATTTAACCGCTGCTGAAAATAAGAGGGGGGAGAGCAGGACTTTAGACGACTCGAATTCTTTGAGGAAAATTGATTTAATTTGCCTTGTTTCAAAATAAATGTGTGGCTCTGGTTATTTCGGACTGAACAGCCCTGATTGATTGTGTGAGGCTCTGTCTCTTTCCTATTTCTGAACAAACTCTCTCGTCTCTCCACAGTATCCTCAAGTCTATGGAGTTTGGGCCGACTGAGAGTGCAACAGTGCAGGTAACTATACTGCTATACAGCTACTTTTTTAATATACTGTATGTCCAAAAGTATCCAGACACCCCTTTTAATAAATGACTTCTGCTACTTTAAGGTGCACCCACTGTTGATGGAGGTGTTCAGGTGCACAGCTTGTATAATCTCTATATAAAAGCCCTAGACTAGTAGAATAGGATGCTGTGAAGAAGCCACACATCGTGCAATGCCAAGTGTTGGCTAGAGGGGTGTAAAGCCCCCCAGCGTTGGGCTGTGGAGCAGTGGAACTGCGTTCTCTGGAGTGATGGAGCTCCATCCAATACCTTTGGGATGATTTATGATCCAGAACTTCAGTACCTGACCTCACTAATGCTCAATCAATATCTAGAGTAAAGCCTTCCCAGACGAGTAAAGGGTGTTACTGCAGCAAAGAGGAAAAACTCCCCATTACCATCCTTAATTTGAGGAGAAACGCTGGATGAGCAGGAGTCTACAAACTTTTGGACTTACAGTGTACATCACTGGATCAAATTTTAGGGGAAGATTTTTAGATTTTCTTTGTAATACAAAAAAATGGTCAGTTCAAAAATATTTTCTGTTTTTGATTTGCACAGTTGTTTTATGAAACTGATGAAGGTGGCGATAGTCTTGCCTCTTAGGTAGTTAACCATTGAATTTGGGTGAGGCTGGTGGTAAATGTCTGCAGTTATAGCTATAAAAGTTTGTTTAAGTAGTTACTTTTCCACCGTGAGAATGAAGCAATGAAGTCTTTATTGGAGCTGCGGTTGACAGTTTGATTAATACATCAGGGCTCAGTATTAAGCCGTTGTGTTTCTCTGTAACAAATCCAAACTATAAGCCTGGCTTTTCTCTCATCTCAGGACTCGTCTAAGCCGCTGGAGGTGTTACTGCTGGAGAAGAATCGCGGTCTTCAATCTGAGAATGCTTCTCTGCGCATCGCCAACACCGAGCTGAGCGGTAAGTGTCTGGTCCACTCTGGCTGCCCTGCAGCCACTGAATGGAAGAGGCTAGACATGCCTGTTGGGGGGAGGTATTTGTTTAGGGACCAGAAAAAAAGACGGGTAAGAACCACAGTAGTAGTTTTTGCCTGAAATAGTTACAGTGCATTGTATGGGTGCGTATATATATATTGCTGCTGTCGGAACAAAAAGCTGCATCTTAATTTTTGTCGTTTTTCAGTTATTATCATAATTGAAAATTATGCCCTTTACATTGTGTGTAAAAAGAAATGACAAGTGTGAAAAAAAAGTCTGGTTCCATTGACTTACATTAAAAGTAAAGTATGTTTTTTCCTTGTCCTGTGAAGTTACCATTTTGGAAATACGAGGTTTTCTTCCAGCAACAGCCATATGTACAGACACACATATACATAGATAGTACTGTGCAACAGTTTTAGGCGCTTCAGAAAATGAGGAATTTTAAAAGAATGCTTATTAAAGAAAATTTAATAAGCTATTGATGTGGACAGTATACATATTCATATAACATAACGTAAAAACAAACTTTACTTTTAATGTAAGTCAATGGAACCAGAGTTTTTTCCAAGTCGTTTTGGGCCATTTCTTTTGGTCCATCCTTCATAAAATTTACACACAATGTAAATATATATATATATATATATATATATTATATATATATGTAGTTACTGATATTTAATTTTTTCCATTCTATATTCTATTTTTTTAGTTACACCTTTACACCTTGTCCTACTTTATATATACACATTAAAATGCATTACCTAGCAATATGAGCATGGCGTGATTTGGAGGCAGTGGAAAAGGGTGGAACAGGTTAATGCTGTTAAAATGGAGACACTTTTTTGAACTGTTTTTCATGTCGAAAAAATGGGCCACTTCAGCACTTTGCCACATTAGTCATGGCTCTTTTGATAATTGCTCATCACCAGATGTGCCGCTGACATTTCGAGCAGCGTACTGACTATAGAGCAGGCTGCTTTATGTGCTCTTTCTCCGTCCTCTTCTGCGCTATCTCTCTCGTTCAGTCTCTCTCCACTCAGTCTGTCTCGCACACACTCTCAGGTCCCTCTGTACACTTTAACATACCAGGAAAAAAGTGTATGCTCCATGGAAAGGTCCTTGAGTTGGCGTTGTACTTCTGAAAATATATTGCTGTTCAGTTATTCACAGAAGTTTATAGACTACAGGTTATAGCGTTTCCTGACTTTTAATTGGAGTCATTTGCAAGCTCTCATTTTCAATATACTTGAAAGCAATGAGATTAATATGGTGTTGGAAGGATCGCTAGAAACGGGGAAATGTGATCAGACCTCCATCTCTTTTTATGTGTCTGTGCGTATGCGTGTATGTGTGGGTGTGCGAGAGAAATGTCAAGAGCTTTGGCTTTGGGGCTGCATAAACAGGATATTTAAATAGCGCTCAAAACTTTGCATAAAAAAAAACATTAACATAATTGACAGGTCACCGTTGCCTGACCTCCTCATCACGTCCCACTAATTTAAAGGGGCCTTTGGTCATTTGCATACATGAAATTCATTTGTTGATTGTTTTGTTTTAACGTTCACTGCGTCCACTCCTTCGAACAGTCTTGGCAGTCTTACCTTAGGCCCTTGCTTCATGTAGAGCGTAGAAATCGCCCTAGTGTTGCCCTTCACGTTGCTGTTGGGGTGTTATTCAGAGACGCTTTTGCATTCAGGTAGAGAAATTTGCCCCCGTGGGTCCACAGAAATGTTTCTCATGGTTATGGAATGCTGCCCTCGGTGTAGGCAAACATGTAGCACAACATGAGATCTATGAAAAATTCATAGTGTTGGGGGAGCGTTTTTAATGCTCCAAAATTTTCTCCCCCTAAACTATCCCCTTAGAGAGACGTCCACCTGCGTTAAGATCTAAAGCTCTGTTCAGATCCGGCCCACTGTGGCGAATGAATATTTTACCTGATTCATTCGAGGCCACACAATGAATATTTACCACTTTAATGCTTAACGTTCATCAAGAGTGGCGGTGCATCTGAACTTATCGTTGAACTTCATCTTTTTTATTATTACTGCTATTATTCCTCCCCCATACCTGTCTTTCTTGACCTGAAAGGATTTTTTCTTTTTGTATTTTACAACCCATAACAAGCACTTTTTGAATACACACTTATTTTGCTTGTCGAGCCACGGAGACCCCTTCAACAAAGACTGTTGTTAATGCACTGTTGCACATCAGTCACATAGGAGGAATGGACAGGAATGGACATTTATAAAGGTCAGACGCAAGATTGAATTATCTGGTAGCTCATCAAAGCCCCCGACACTTTTTAGTCATTGCTGATCAAGTGACCATCCCTTTATGCTGACTATCAGAGAGTCATACTGCTCAATAGACTGAGCCAAAGACTGGACAATGCTCCCAATCTGCCTCTCCTCACCACATAAAGAGAAACTGGTGGCAACGGATCTGGACGGCAACAAGATCTTTATCCTTCCAGGCTGTAGCTTACAAGAAAGGTGCAAACCACAAATGCATGGGCGGCTTGTCTGGGGGGCTTGGCAAAAGGTTAATACAAGTTTAAAATCTTTTCTCTACATAAATAAACTAAAAAAACTGTCTTTTTGGACCCCTTTTTTTGTTAACTCCCCCATAATGCATTGTGTTTGCCCTTTCTTGTAGGGTCAGCCGGCCAGAAAGGGAAAGAGGAGACTCCGCTCTGCCAACTCGGCCCCGCCTCCGCCAACTCAGCCCCTACCGCCCTGCAGGGCACCACGCCCCCTCCTGCCTCGTCCTCTCAACTCTCAGTCCGCACAGGGGCGGGGCCCAACTCCGCCCCGGGTCCGCCCCCAGATCCACCCGCCAACGGGACACACCCCCACTTCCCGGCCACAGGCCTGGGACAGGACTTCTATGGCACCGCTGCCTTCCCCCTGGCGGGCAAGGTGGCCCTCAACTCCCTCTTGCAAAGGCAGCTCATGCAGACCTTCTACTCCAAGGCCCTGCAGGACGGCTCCATGCTCTTCGCACCAGCCCACTACGCCCCGGGCCCACTGCCCCAAAGTTCTTTGCAAACACACCAGCCCTCTTGCATTAGCCCGGATGCCAACGGCGGGACGGCACCCTCGCCCAGCCGCTCGGAGGGCGCCGGCAGCGCCTCTGAAGGCGAGGACATGGACACGGCTGAGATCGCCCGGCAGGTCAAGGAGCAGCTCATTAAGCACAACATCGGGCAGCGCGTCTTCGGCCACTACGTGCTAGGCCTGTCCCAAGGCTCGGTCAGCGAGATCCTGGCGCGCCCAAAACCCTGGAGCAAGCTGACTATCCGCGGCAAGGAGCCCTTCCACAAGATGAAGCAGTTCCTGTCCGACGAGCAGAACATCTTGGCCTTGCGCAGTATCCAGGGCAGGCAGAGAGGTGAGTGGACTCTGGATCTTAACAAGTACTTCGCTCATAGAATGCTGGTGTTGCTAATTATATTATACAGTTATGCAGAAGCAGTTAAAGTCATTCACCCTGCAGCCAACAAACAAAACAGTCTGTATGTGACATTAAATTATATAACTAGTATAATATATGTACAGTGTTATGCGAAAATTTGAGCAACCCGTTCAAATGAATTTGTTGATTTTCTAAGTGAAAATAAATTAGACAGTACTCTACAAAGAACATAATGCACACATACTGTTTATTTGATTTTTTTTATATATATGTTAAACTTAGCAAGTAAATAGAAAATGTGGACTAACATTTTCAGAAAAATGCCATATTTAAGGTGTTCCCTGTAAATTAGAGGTGTCAACCTCAACCACTAAAAGGGCCATATTAAAAAATCTTAACAAATCTGTGGGCCAGCTGTGTTTTTGTTGTATATTTACTTTTTGTCATGACCCCAGCTGGCCATTTTTGCTCAAAATATGCCAAAACTACAATGGCAAAAAATAGGCATCGAATACTTCAACAATTCAAAAATAATAATAGTATAATAATAGACTACAGTAATAATAATAATAGACTATATTAGCTGCATATCACTGTTAAACCTCTTTAAATGTCCCCAATATATAGTAGGTTCTTAAAACTGCCCATTCGCTTGAACTCCTCATCTTTTTTTTGGTTCGTTTTTGTGGTGCTGTACCATAGATCGTTGTTGGGGAGGGGTTGGGAGCATACATTACATTGCAGTGCATGCTGATAACTGTAGTGCAGTTCATGGTGAAATGGGCTAATGTCAATAGAAAATTAAAATAATTTTGCAGGCCGAATAAGATTGCGTCACAGGCCTGACTGGACCCGCAGGCTTTGTGTTTGACACATGGGCTGTAAAGGATGTGTTAACCATAGTCGCCATCGGAGCAAAAACACAAGCTGGCCTTTACGTTGTGTTAACATGTCTTGATGATTGCACTGATAGAAATGGTCCAAATTAAATCTTTTAAATAAGGTTTTGTTCCAAACATAACTTGTTTTGTCTTAGAAAATCAACAGAACATGTACATAAGTCTACTTGAGTGTATATCAGTTGATGGTATACATTAACAGGGCTGTTCAAGCACATCAGCATTCTAAGGTGAAGTGTTTCTTTAAGTTGTTGGTCTTGAATCAGCTAAATTTGTGATCAAGCATGCCATTTTAAATTTCTCTCAGATGTGTGAATGTAGACTTTAAGTGAAAAGGTTAGTGTGTGTATGTAGAGTGTTGCTTCATATACATTAGTACATATTAATTCTCAACCATTAAGAGTTTGTGAAAGTGTGATTAAGCAACTGCCTGTTACTTTGGAGCCTAGAAAAGCGCTGCATGTACCGTGATGAACTCCTTTCTCCTCGGTCTCTCTACATATCGATTCAGACGTCAGTTTAGATCCTTCACATCTTTTCCATCACAACTCATTTCCACACGACCAAGCTTCTGATCGTCCTTCAGGCTCCGTGGCCCGTCCTCATCGCGCGCTAATCGATACCGAAACCTTTCACTGATCAATAGTATTGACCCAGAAGGAAG